CTCCGTTGTTGTGTTGAGAGAGATCTTCTGTGTAAAGCTCCACCTGTTGAGACACAACTACGAAGCTTTAATGCTGCACACTTTCCCTGCGCTGTCTGAAATCAACGTCTGCTTTTTCCAAAGGCCACCTTCTCTCTAAAAAGGAGAAATATGTGTCTGTGATTGCATCTCTCGTGACAGAATTCAGCCAGCGTTTCCAAGATTTTTCTGTCATTGAAAAAACAAATCAAGCTGTTTCTTGACCGCCTTCCTGGTGGATGCAGAAGAAGTGGAAGAGAGTCTGCAGTTAGAACTGATTGAAATGCAATGTGATGATTCTCTGAAGAGTCAACATCAGCTTCTCTCCCTCCCTGACTTCTATCAGAGTTTGGATAATGCCAAGTTTCCTCTGATGAGACGCCACGCAAAAAAGATGATAGCCTGTTCGGCTCAACATACATATGTGAACAAACATTTTCTCTGTTAAATCAGAAAAGCGACTGAGAACCAGAATGACTGATAGCCATCTCTGTGAATCCTTCGTGCTCAACCACCAAACTTCTCCTGACATGTCAGCCATCCTTCAATCCAAAGGACAGCATCACTGCTCCCACTGAGTGCAATGTTCTTCACATTATAGGTGAATTAGAAAAACACACAGTATTCATGTGCCAATATGTCACCTCTGTGTTGGCCCGGCCCTTTGTTTATTTTTCTGTATTTGGCCCTCACTAAAAAAACTTTGGACACCCCCTGAGCTAGGACGAAGCTAAATGCTAGAAGAGAGAAGAGAGGCTAGAGCTAGAAAAATGATACACAAAACTAGAAGCTGAGACTTTTACTCAAAGCCTGGCTCTGTAGCTATGGAAACTCTTAGCTCTAAGCTGCTAGCCACAAACTCATGGCTCTTAGCCATTTTTGGACTTGATCGTTTTGTCCACGTCCTTTATTATTTCTTGCCACAGGCTCCAAGTAACGTTTCTTTTTGTTTACATGCGCGATCTTTTATTTTTATATTCCAAGTCAAGACCAACTGAACCAAAACAACAGAAGTGCCTCAGAGTAATTTTGTAACTTTTAATTATCAAGTTTTCCTTTTTGAAGATTTTTGACAACTTTAGAGTCATCTGGTCAACGCCAGTCTCCTCTAAAATTATCCAGCCAAAGTGCCTTAGATTTTATTTCGCAACCCACAAGAGAGGCCAGCAGATAACATCTGCACGACCGCCTGCAGAGAAGCCGACCAGAAATCAAGAGTGCCCGAGACAGAAAGTCTCCTGGCAAACTCCACCAGAGCTGAACCGCTGAGACACCGGCAGAATCTGTCGCCATGATAACGGGACACGGCCTCCAGGAGAATCCACCTAGATCCCGTGTCTCAAGGGTTACCAGCTACAGCGCAATTCACAGTAGGCCAGTCTCAACACTCTGCTCATGACTGGGTTGATGTCGAAATATAGTAATATTTAATCATCAAATCTCATTCATAGACGTAGTATTATTAGCTGTATAGCCATAACATATTCTCTCCGACCATTGCCAACTCATCATACCGCTCATTTCATTATTATATTCATCTTTATGATTACTACACCTTGCATTTACTCTGTAGATAGTAGTTTAGTTAATAAACTTCCTTATTTACACCCAGTTGTTGTCCTGTTGTATTCTTTTGACGTAGAGACTAGAGATCCATTGAATCGAGAAGTCATGGCTTCTGATGTGAGATTGATAAATTTATCAATGAAGTAATTCATTGTTGTCCTCCCAGGGGACTGGTGCCCCATTTCAACAAGAGAAAATTCTAAATTATGGCGTTAACCTTTAATGACACCACAGGGGCCGCCTATGGGTATCCCCTTATAGATTATAAAGCCAAGACACCAGATTATTTAATACTCAACTAGTTGTCTACATCCCTAGAAAGCAGAGGGGGTAACAATGTCATCACATGTGCAGAGAAATCTGGCTCTGTTGGAGTTGTTATATAAATCACAGCCGAGGGTGCGTAGGGTCATTGTTAGTAATGTGAGCGCAGACTTTATTAATGCGCTGTGTGAGATAGACTGACAAACAGTAACAGCTAAAAAAAGAAAAAGACAACCATCAGACTAGTCGCAGACAAAAAAGTCAGACATTTGAAAAAGAGACTATCAATCAGACTGGGGGAGGATTTTTCTTACCTTTACTAGGCGGAGCTATTCCATTTATAACAAGTCTTTTGAATCAGGGGTGAAAAACACCCAAAAGATGTTTTTGGCTCCACAACATCAATTGGATTCATTAAAGCAGCAGCAACAGGTGCAAAATAAGGAATCCATAAGACTGACAAAATGAACTGGACAGGGCTATGATTGACATGTTGCAACTACTGGACACTGACATGTATGAGAAGGCTAAGAAAATATGCGGGTATTCTGCAAAGATACCTGTTGCTGGTGAGACCGGGTGAGCGTGAAAAAAATTAATTAACTTTATCACTGCCTGTCAGTGAAAGTAACAATACTAGTGGCACAACACCCGGCGTTAATTATGGCAACGCTAAAAAGGATATGATTATAGAACAAGTGTTAAAAACACATGCCTAAAAGAAGTAGAAAAAATGTTGAATACATTTTGGATGCTTTGACCCGCTCACAAAATGTCATCTCTTGACAGATCAGGGAGAAATCATTGTTAACACCTGTATGATTTGGTAAAAAGTGTCACGACATCACACAATGTCTCAGACATTTCGAGACCCATGGGATGGACTATGTTTTTAAAAACACTGGCCGGTTTAAATATACCACTATCTGATATCCCAAATACTCAGGTACACCTTGTTATTTCCGAATTTAAAGGGGGTGATGACCCGGCTAATGAAGTGAGTTTTATGACCCATGACAGCTCAGACACCAGAAAAAAGAGAAGGCTAGCTGGCTCACTAGGTCTACCCCTCTTAATACATGTGGGTCTAAGAGTTTTAAGACACCTACACTGTAAACCCGAATAAGTTCAGAAAACTCAAAATTTTTGTCGTAACTGATTACATAAGAACTTTTAAGTTATCCTGATAAATTTTTTGAGTTACACTATACTTAAAAAATATGTGTTCAGTTGACTTAATCTATATTCTAAGTTCAACATAATCTTTTTAAATTTCCTTAACTTAATATTTATGTCTTCTTCATACTTAAATGATTTGATTGAATATACTTATAAAAACTAAATTACATGGACTTGAAAAAAATAACTGATTACAATGTATTATCAAGTCATTTTCCACTGAAATTTTGATCAATGAGGTCAAGGAGGCAGTACAATAAAATAAACAAAAAATGTACCTCTAATTCTAAACTTATAAAAAGCCCACTGGGCATACGCAAAAGTGCTTTCAACATTTTAACAGACATGTCTATAATATCAGACACATCTAAGAATGAACAACAGAACAACATGGCTGTAATAATGTTGGCTGAAATGCCTGCCTGCTGAGTGCAGGCAGGCATTTCTCAGCTTGTTTATTCCTTTAACAAATCATTTTTCAGGGAGAGTAGGCATGGTTTCAGTGGTTTGTTATCATCCAGACACATCAGCACTTTCTGGATGAATGTGAATGTGTGAGTGAGCTTCTTTGGATAATCTAAGTGTAATGCATAGATTAAACCAAGCAGCACCACAAATGCATCAGCCAACCTGGGAAGCTCGCTCATAACAACTTCATCCTCTATCACAATGGATATGTTCTCAGGGCTGAAGCTGATGGAACCAGTGGTGTCAGGGACCACAGAGAGGAGCGCTAGCGGTGTGTCAGTGGTCTCCATCTCATCTTCACCCTGCAAAACACAAGAAAATCAGTTATAACGACAAATCCAGAGGGATGTGACACAATCCTTGTTTGTAGAGCCAAAATATATTATTTCTTCCTTAACAAGTTCACCAAGTAACTTTATAATATCATTATTCCCTTCCCCTCTCCTTGTTCTTCTTCCTCCTCCTCTCCTCTCCTCTCCTCTCCCTCAACTCTCCTCTCCTATATCCTATCCTCTCCTCTCCTCTCCCTCAACTCTACTCTCCTATATCCTCTCCTCTTCTCTCCTCTCCTCTCCACATCAGCCTGAAACTGTCATTTTATCAGATGCTGAGTCTCAGTCTGTCATCTTATATTCTAGATATAGTGGAGGGTTCAGTTCCATGGCTACATGCATGGATCTGAATCACCTTCACTAGAAATTTGTTGCTACTATCTATTTACACATGCTGAAAGTGAAAAGCAGGGCGATCAACATTTTTAAAAAATTGTATAATCACTCATATTATGTTGTAGAAACTCAAAGTGGCCCCATGAAGTTTTCCTCACTTCACGTAATATATACTTATTGCTGTAGAAATATGATACTGGAGTGGAGCATGAGGAGGCAGATTGAAGCCTAAGTAACTTTAAATATCATAGAAACCGAGATAGAGGCGAGCTGAAGAAAACCTAAGGAGTACTGAAGAGAGCAATGTGAGCTAGAGTCAAGCCAAGCACAGAGAGATCGGTCACTGTGTGTGTGCGAGAGTGAAGCATAGCTCTGGCTGCAGAGACAATGTGTGTAGGCGAGGGGTGGGCGCTGTGTGTGACTGGCAGATACTCGTCTGAAACCCTAATACTTACATTACAGGTTTTGTAGAATTCAGTGTCATCCTCCCGGAGATACACTGGAAGTGCGCGAAGAGCCAGAGTGCATCGCATGTTGATGTCATGTTCTTCCTAGATTGTGAAAAAAGAAAAAATCTTTATAGAAATATTTTGCCAGCATGCCCAGTCCGTGTCACTGGTATAACAATGTAATGCTTCAGTTATGTTAAAAATAGTAATCTATCTATGATTCAGCAGGATGACTGACTACTATCAAGGCATCTGTAATCTGTAATGACAACACATTGTATGATCAGCATTGTCCCCATGGAAAAGTCAAACATAAACTTACCTCCAAGTCATAAATTCTCAGCATCTCTCGCAGTGCCTCTGCTCCCTTTCCAGTCCTTGAGGACTTCTGTCGATACAGTGCAACTAGTTTTGGTGTGTATCGGTCAAGTTCACAGTAAAACTGGTTGCGTAGATTCAGGTTTGTAATGCGATGAAACTCTGCAAACACCTGTACACATATAAATATTTAGGTAAAAACAATGTGAAGTTGTCAGATATTTTCTACATGAAATGTTAAATATCAATTACTTTTATTAACTATTACTAATTAAAACATACTATATATTTACCTGTGACTGCATTTGCAAGGCCGGCCAGTTCTCCAGGAATTCCCGCACCTGTGGACTTCCTTGAACAATGTGTTGGCGGCGAAGGGCAAAGGTTGTGTGCATGAGCTTTTCTATCAGTATCTGGTCTCTCTCAGTCTTTTCAGTCTCTTGTATGATTTGTACTCTCATTTCCTCCAAGGTTGCCTCATTCTCTCCCCTGGGGAAGTTGGGCAGGAAATTCACCTCAGCTCTTCTGGCTCTTTTGATGTTCGAATGAGGATGATCATTTTCAGGGTTGGTTCGGCTCCTCTTGCCTGCATTGATGGAGACCTCTGCACAACCAGATCTGGCCAACTTAGTGCGAAAATTCCTCATCTTGAACTTCAAGGCCACCTTCCATCCATACCATCCATTCTTACTCCCATGTTCTATAAGGCATGGATGAGCTGCTATTAGAGCTTCAGCAGCCATACCCACTTCCTTGTCATGTGGATATGGCTTGAAATTGTACATTGTTTCAGCCATGTTTTCCAGGATATTGTGTTTTTGGGCTCTTGTTAATTTCAGTGTCTTCCCAGAATTTTCAAAGTCAGCATTTCCCTGTGCACATACATGCTCAACTTCATAAGAAAAAGTTGGCACAGGGAAACAATCTGGCCAATTTTTCTGACGCTGTCTTAAAGGTACATGTGGAAGTATGTCTGTGTCGGAGCTTCCAGTGGAGGATGCATCACTTTCAGATCTCACCACTTTCAGTGTTCCTTTTTCAGGGAGCTCCTAAATATCCATAAGAACACTGAGCTGTCCATCGAAGTCAGGATCTTCATATTGAAGGGTAAAGTCACAGTCCAGCCTTGGCTTAAACTTCTCTTGCATTATATTCTTGAGCTCTTCTACTGACTGTGGTCGCTCGGTTAGAATGAGCTTCATGGCAAGATCTGTTGCAACACATACACGGAGCACAAATTTCTGCGGAGTAACCATATCTTGATGTGTACTGTAACAAAAAAACAGTAAATAGAGTTAGTTTGATTGTGATTAAGAATCATCTTTGAACAAAGTTATTAGCCATTTACCTTGAATGAGCTGAAATTTCAGTGTAGTAATATGAACCGTTTTGGTGTTAAGAGCAGTCTTCCATCTGTTCTGTATGCAGAGAGAGGCAATGTGTCATTGAGCTCTTTTAAAAGGTGGACAGTCAAGTTCCCTGGTGAAAGTTCATAAGATCTCAGATGCTCAATGTAATATGATGTGTGTATCTTGCAAAGAAAGACAATCTGGTTATCGACAAGGAGAATCTGTTCAATTTTGCTGAACTGAGGCAATCCTCCCTCCTGTCCCACAGACACAAACATCTCCACGCCATAATCAGTTCCATCAACATTGACAACTGATGTGCTGTAAATCATGCTGCTGTCTTTCATGTGTTCGACATATGCCTTTGCAACATCAGGAAGCCCTGATACCATCACAGACGAGACGCTTGATGTCTGCTGGTGAAGTTTGAAGAAGGATAAGGCACTGAGAGAGTATGCCATCATGTGTTGGTGTCTGTTTGCTAGTGTTTTTAAAACATTCTTGAAGTTTTGTGTGTCATGTACTACACGCTTGAAAAAGCAGTGTTTTCCCTCAAATCTCATCGTCCACAAATGGACAAGAGGTCCAAAACAACGTATGAGGTCAGCGTAATTCTCAGTGTAGTGATGCTTTGGTCTGAGCGTGAAATCAGGAAAAACTTCCTGCAGCATGTGTCTATGATCCTGTATCTTCATATGCAAATACTGGATGGATTCATCTGTAAACACTGGGCAAATCATCAGCTCTACTATCTCTTTCAAATCCATGAGTACACTCCATGCTCCATCCTCTTCTGGAACTTTACTACCAATGATCAATGGAAGTAGTCTGAGCAAAGTAGCATTTTCATGGCCATTGCCACCAATTGTTTTCTTCACAGTGAAGGTCTTTGGGATAGGCTGAGGTCTGTCAACCTTGTCTGTGTGCTTGTATGAGAATGAGACAATTTTTCTGTTTAAATACTCCAGGGTGAAGTATTTATGATGGATCATTTTCCCAATACACAGGGCCAGCTCTATGGGCACAATGCCCTCAAGAAGATCGTGCAGGATATCTGGTGGGAAGCCTGTGACTGTATGAAAATACTGTAGACCCTGCCTCAGAACACAGACTCCCTGAACACCACTCTGACTAACCCCATGCAGTGCAGCATCAACATCAACATCATGACTGGCTTTTGTCCGCACACTGAATTCTCCACTCCCAACATCATGAGCCTGAATTTGGTCTTTGGTAGCTGTGCAGAATCTACACATACATACACACACAAGACTGTTCCCTTTACGGCTTTACCAACGGACTCAATAAAAACACCATCTTGCTCAAGAGTTTGGATGTCTCGTAACAGAGGACCAAACAATCTTTCATATCCAACCCGCTGAACATCAGACACCTTACATAATGCTGCTAACTGAAGCACATGCAATGATGATCTATATTTACTAGGCAGATCAGCAAATACCCAGTAGACTGAACATAGTTTATGGATCTTCCGTGATGTTCCAAGTGGGTTTGCTATTTTAAGATCATCAATGTACAAAATGAGTGGTAGCTTTAGATCATCTGACGAAGAGAATAATTCATTCTCCTTATAGTATGAGCCATCTTGATGGCTCATGAAATGACCTTCCTGTGACATCTTTGTTTCTAGAATTTTGTCCAGAATGTCTGTATGTTTGAACATTTTCTGAATCATGTCAAGAATAGGAACATAGACTGCTGTGTGTCCTGGCTCCAGCACATACTCTACAGGCTTCACCACAGGGTAGTTTTTCTCAACAAATGTTTTCCTTCTTTTAGTTGAAGATAACTCTCTACTTTTAGCTGTGGCATTTACAAGAATGTTGCTTTCCAGAACAGCAGTAACTATGTCATCTAGAGTATTTTCACTGACAGAGATGTCATGATGTTCTAAGACTTCTCTAAGAGATTGTTTGACTAGAGGCTGGGACAGGGAAAATATTTGTGTCAGATGCTCCACTATGTCCTGAGTCGCCAGGTCAGACACATGAAGAATTGTTTTCATCTTTAAGAATAGCGATGCTAAACTTTGGTGCAGCTGCGCTCTTAAAGTGTCTGTGTCGCACTGACTCTCTACCTCAACAGGGTCAAAGGTGTCTGTGCTCTCACACTGAGCAGGTCCCTCCTCAACATTTTCACCAGCAGGTGTGTCTGGTGTACCATTCTTTTCTGAACATACAATGTTCGTATCAAAATCTGAACTGCCTGCATGGTTTCGGCTTTTGTGTGCATTGAAGGATGAGTACGCATTTGTACTGTAACTGCAGTTACTGTATGGGCATACTACCACCTCATGATTTCTTAAATGACTCCTTAAATGAGAAAATAGTGATGCCTCAGAAAATATCTGCTTGGTGCCACACAAGGGACATGTAAAAAATGCACTTCCTGACTGTGAACCATCAGTCACATTTATTCTACCTGTATCACTATGACACCGTGAAAAATGAGCTTTCACTGCATTAAATGACGGAAAGTACAAATGCAGTCACTGTACAAACATGGTAGAGGGCTGACTCTTGAGAAGTAGTTATGGTGCAACTGATAATGCCTAAATAACTTTGCACGTGTGTCCAAGGATACAGAGCACAACTTGCACTTCCAATCCATTTACCTTGAACTGGGGCGGGCAGAAGAGGTCACACAAATCCTGCAGGGAGAGAATAAACAAATGTAATTTATTTCCAAATCATGATGAACGTCATAACCAAATGGTGTTTTTAAATAAACAAATACTCATCAAAATAATCACCAACACTGTTGCTCAGAATGACAAACTTCTCATATCCAACTGCTCTATGGTACTATAACATAACAGTGAGCACATACAGTTTAATGTACTTAAGATGCAAAATGCGTAAATGATTATGTATAGTGTATTACTTTGTCAATCCCTTATTGGCGAGGGCAACTCCGTTAGACAACCCTTCTCAACATATTATGATTTTTTGCAATGTCTAATAAAAAATAAACTTTCACATATGCAGCAACTGCTTTTATTAAAACATTTCACCGATATTTGAAACAAGTCGTCCTCTGCATATTTTTCAAGGCAAAGAACGGCTCTTTCCACTGCCCTTAACGTTACGTTGTTGACAGAAACGAAGTAACGTTAGCGACCTGGGCCTAGTAACGACACTGACGATAATTACTAAGTAAGCTTTAGTTTAAACCAGTTGTTAATATGTCTTATATTGTAGCATGTAACTTCATTACACACATTCACAGTGTCTAACAAAAGATAACTATATGTATTGAACTTTTGCAGAACTTTTGTAACGTTACGTTACTCACCGCTTCGCGCGCGAAACTTTCAAATCCTGAAGTCGGGGTGCCCCGGAACACAAAACACAGATAAAAGTCAATTTTGCAACAGCACGGCGAAAAAATGTTCGTTGTTGTGCAGGTTTTTTGATGAATATGAATGTTTTTCCTCCTTTCTTCGTTCCGTTGCATCCCTCGCTAAGGTCCAGCCATCTTGAATTTTCTTGATACGTGCCCTGAACAGTTGGGTGTAGTGACGTCAGACGTCACGTCCCCTCACGTACGCCTGTTAACTTAGACGTTTCAAGTTAAGTGACAGTGTTCACTTACACATACTAAGCCCTATGAAATCAAAACGATATTATTAATTAAGAATACTTAATGTTTCAGTGTCGGGTGAACTAATTAGCCCACTTTGATTTAGTTGCTGGCAATAGTTATGAGTTTGTAGTACTGTTCGGGTTTACAGTGTAGATTGGACTTTTCTGCTTGGTTGGATTTCTGATTTCTATGTACCTTTTTTTTATTATTATGTACAGAATATATCATCCTTTTGAAAATGTTTTTTAAAAACACTGAAAAAAACAGGGACACATTATACAATATACAAAGTAGAAAGACAGAATGAATGAATGTATTTTTTATGCTACATAAATGTACCAATGACAGAACTATGTGTAATCTTATTGTTTTCATTTTTATATGTGCTTTTAAACAATGTGAAACATGAATAAAGAAAAGTATTGATAAATGATCACCTTCTCATTTGTTTTATTTTGAAAATTGTCATTGTTACAAGTAGTTATATTGTACACATGATAACCATGGCATACACCGGGTAATATTTTGTCAACAAATCAACACACCATAGCATCATTACAAGCAAGATTAACTCCATACATGTTTATCAGTTTTGTATAAGGTATCCCTTTTTGTATGTGACATAGGAAAAGCACACAGTGTTGACCACAGATTTTAGCATTATTACTCTGCACCTGTCTTCTACAATAAGATACATTAATGCAGTTTTTCACAAGGAAATCGTTCATCTCTGACAGGAAATTGTCACAGTCAGGTGGGTTGCCAAAACTGTCAAAAAAATTTTCCTTGTTTGTGTTTTGTAATATAAATAGCCAACCAATTTAGGTAATTGATCGCATGCTCTATACATGCGATCAATTACCGAAATACAATGTACAAGAAATTTAATACCATTAATAATTATTTTTCCAACAATACTAGTTAATTCTATTTTATTAATTTTTAATAGTAGTCCAGTAGTACCTGTCTCCTATTTGATATATCAACAACTGAATCAAAAACAGAATAACATATCAGATTAACTGTGCGGGGCAACGGTGTTCTGAAGCGGACTTCCAGCCTCATATTGCCTGTCTTAATAAGCTACACATTCCCTGAACATCCTTCATTGGGTGACAGGTTGAAAAAGAATAAGGTGTAGCCCGTACCAAAATCTTGACACTTATGGCCAGCCATCTCTCTTTTAGATGACGTCCGGTTGTCTTTATCAGCTGGTAATACTCTCTTGCGGGGTAAGACTGTCTGTCTGCACCAGGCTTGGGGAGTAACAGAATACATGTAACGGGCGTTACGTAATTAGGATACAAAAAAAGGTAACTGTATTCCACTACAGTTACAAAAAAAAAAGACGTAATCAGATTACAGGTACATTTAGTAAAAATAAGGATTATTTCGCAGTATTACAATTTTATTTATATATATATATATATATAGGCCGATATACGAATTGCGGCTACGCCATTGCTGCGGTGACATGTGTCAATCATCATTTCATTATGCTGTCACTGAAACGGGAGAGATAGAGAGAGATGGGGCGTGCATGTCTCACACACATGACAAGCGCGCGCACCACTACGACACTTAATGAGACTCACAGAACCGTGACCCAGCTATGAAACTTTGCAGTTGTCAGCATGGCCTCTAGTGAAAAAAAGTGCCTTTACTGGATGGAAATTTCGCCATTATTTTGTTTATCAAGCAGAAAAGGGGAACAACAACACCGTACAGTGCAAGTTATGCCTTCCAGCTGTGAAACTGCTGTCATCATCCAAGGACTCCACTTCTAATTTGAATAAACATTTACAGGTAAGACCGCTAATACACACTGAGTGTGTTTAAAACAATATTGGGCTCTTAATGTGCTCTTAATTCATAATGTGAACTAAAACAGAGCATATTGTGTCTGCCATGTGAAAGAAACAGTTTTATTTTTGCTTAATAAACTGTACTATGTGGTCAAGACTTGAGCACTTTCTTTGTAGGACTATAAGCTACTACTACTACTCTATTTATTTTACAAGGTTACATTGTTCAGTTGTCTTACAGAATACACAAAAGTTAGTCATTTTATTTATATTTAGTTTCTTTTGTCTTTATTAGCATATTTGGTATTGGAGTAATGCAAAAGTAATTGAAAGTAATCAAGTTACATTACTTTAATGTTATGGTACTTGGAGTACATTGCTGACTACATTTTTCAACAGGTAACTAGTAACTGTATCGGAATACATTTTTAAAGTAACCCTCCCAACCCTGGTCTGCACACAGACATATAAACTCTGTGTCATAGTTCTCAAAATTAAATGGGTTAAGTTTATAACTCCCCGTATCGCCCTCGTTATCAACGAATCTGACTATAACGAATTTAGGGATCTGTCCAATGTAAAGATTTTCTTGGTTGCACACCCTTGCTCCAGCAGGTATGGAGAAAGTTTTCAAAGACACCCTGTGTATAGCATATTTAGCATTAGTGTGTTGTAGAGCCCTGCTGTGCGCCAGCCTGACAGTAGGTGCAACAGAAACTTTTTTTACAAACACGCTGGCTGACGTAATCTTAACGCTATATTGTGTATTTGTAGCAGTCATTAGAGAGAATTTATCTTTTGATCGTATAAATTTCAGAGAAATGTCAACACCAGTAAGCAATAGTTTTTCTTGAAAAAACAAATCTGCATGTATTGCTGCAATTAATTCTATGATTCTGCTGTTTCCAATGTGTCTGCCTCTCAAAACAAGCCCCTGGTTGTCTCCATCTATGGATGTGGCATTCATGTGACCACTAATATCTTTACAAAATAGACCAGTGCTGAACTGTGTGTCTAGTGTGTCTTTTCCATAGTTGATCAAACATTCAATTATCCCACGATATGGATATGTGTTGGAGGATTGTGTTATATGCCTATCTCCCAGCATTATATCAACCTGTGAGAAAAGCACGCAAAACCCACGTTGGCATCATTAGGCAGGTTTGTGCCATCAGCATTCTCACACGTGTAAACAGATAGGTGTCATTCAGATCGAGATAATCCTGTCCAATAGTCACCAACCATTCGAATTTACGATACTTTCATGAAACTTCATTTAACACATTTTGCAGAGCCCACCAGTCGCACCACTGGATAAAGAAAAGGGTTTTAAACCACACGTCATATTCTTCCAGAGTGACTGGGTACAGGCATAATAGCCCTTCTTCACGACCTCTGGTTGCAATCACCCTCTCTCTTCACAAACACTAAGAAAAATAAAATACTCTGAACGGGCGATTACTATACATTTTCGGACATGTAGCACTGACCCACTGTGATGCATAAATCATCTCAGGGAAACCAGGCTGTTCAAGGTCGGGGCAGACCACAGAGCAAAACAATTTCCAATCTTTCACAGACATGCTCTGTGATTAGGCATTACTCTAAAAAATGCCTGCACTAGTACCCCCACACAGTGTAGCTTTTACATCATGATATTCAACAGAGTAAACGTACCCATTTACTCCCTCAAACTCTATCTTGAAACCATCTGAAGGCTCTACACGTGATCCTCGAGAACAAAGGGGATAACAGCAAAGCAACACAGCCAGACAGGACTATACTCCACCAGGAAGCCTCCCAACTGACTGGACTTTACAACAACACTGGAAAGGACCTCTTTGTGTGTTCCAAGGACTGGGTAACGTTAACTGACTGGGCCTAACCTTTCCCAGCACAGCATGGCACAGCACAGCACAGCATAACTAAGCAACAGAAGTCTTAACTTTGTTAATGTACTTGTTGATTGATGTCTTCTTGATGTAATGTTTGCCTAGGTTGTCGGGTACTCGTATGTTCACACACATAGTAGTACGTCTCAGTTCTAGAACCTGCATGAAGCTAACCTCCTCCCTCTAACCTGGTACCTTTAGATTACATGAGCTAGGCTAACAAAGAAACTCACACCTTCCCTCCCACACACACACCAGGTGGTCTCAGCGGCCATTTTGAGTAGTTTCTTTGCTTACCGCCATCTTGTGTAGTCTTCTTTGTTCAGGTCATGTGGTCACAGTGACCACTTTGAATCGGCCATCTTGCCT